AGTTTAGATTCTATTTAAAAATTATTTTCAAACTAAAAGTCAGTTTTAATAAAGCCTTTTTAATCAATTTTCTGAATTTTGTATTTATTTAAAAAGTAATTCATAAATAAATAGAAATTAATTATTATATTTTTAATTTTTAAGAAAATAAACTAAATTTTAAAATTTTAATTTGAAATTTATAATATTATATAATAAATAGTTAAATTTTATTCTACTAATAAAATAGTAAAAATATATTTGATTATATTAGTGTGTTTGAGAAAAAAAAAAAAATATTTTATAATTAAAAAAATTCATATATTTATATGTTTAATTATTAAAAGAGATAAATTAAATTATGCTAAGAAATTATTTAAATAAATATAAATAAGTGAATTTAAGAAAATATAAAGTTAAAATAAAAATTATAAAAATAGAATATTTTCATGTATTATTATTATATAATAATATTAATAATAAATTATTATATTTATTAAATTATTAAATAATTATAAATTTTTCAATTTATTAATAAAAATAAAATTATATTATTAAATAATATTAATTTTAAATATTAAACTATAGAAATTTATATATAAATGATAACAACTAAAAATTTATTATTTTATTTATATCTGTTTTCAGAATAAAAAAAAATATTATTATTTAAGATTTAAAAAGTTAATAAAAACATATAATTTGTTATTTTGATTTAATTTATCAATGACTTGACTTTAATGGGAAATATTTATTTAAAAGTCCTTCCGAACTATCTTTCCTATTTAATATATTTTAAATATTAAAGAATGAATATATATTTAAAACTCTTCTGCAGGTACAGGGAATTTTTTCATAAATTTATGATAAGGTGGACCATAATCTTGGCCAAGATAATAATTAAGGAATTTAGATGCTTATTTATTAGCCCAATAAGAGTATCTTCTAGAAGCAATAGGACCCTTAGAAAAAATAAATATATATAAATATTTGTTATTAAAATATTATGATTACTCCATTTTTATGTGCAAGATGTTACCAATTTCCAACACCTCCATAGTAATGAGCAATATAAGTAAGAGAACTATTTCCAGTGAATAAAGGAACCTTAGAGAAGCCATCATAATGAGCATTTAAAGATTATCCTTATAATGATCTAATCAAGTTATTTCTTACGACTGCAATTTAATACCACCCAGCCCAGAATGTTTTAGTAGTAGGAAGATCACAACAATCTCCAAGACCAAAAATATTTTTATATTTATTGTGTTGTAAAGTTTCATGATTAACATCTAAAAGTCCATTAGAGTTTGTTAATCCAGCATTAACTAAAGGTTCATTAGGTTTAGTAGGCATTATTGAATACAAATTTTAATATTCTCTTACAGTTGTTTCTCCTGTTTTTAAATTTTAGAATGTAGCCATTTAATTATCCTTTGATATTTCTATTATATATATGCTATTTTTAATAAAAATTTAGATATAAATTACCAACTAATTTTTAATTATATTCAACATTGACTCCTTTTTTTTAAAGTTCTGATTTTATGAAATCGTCTGCTGAATCGCAATAATGAACGAATTTTTCATTTGCATTCATAATAGTGAAATTATCTATTTTAGTTTACAAAAAAAAATTAAGTAATTTATTAAATACGTTTAGGAGAAAGAGCACCATTGCAAGAAGCCCATTTCCAAATTTCATCAGAAATGAAGAAATTGAAACATTCTACTTCACCTGCATAAGGATATTAGGGAATACAGAAAAATCCATTACCATGTTTATAATTGGTAACGTATTCTATTTTTATTTTATTAATAAATTTATATATTTATAAATCGAAAATTAAATTTACTTGAATATTTATGATTATTAGCTCTCCACGATTCAGGGTCTATTATTAATAATTAATTTATTAAAATATAAATATTTATAAATATACCTCTATTAGAATACACAGGATGAGTAGGATGTTCTAAAGCATCCCAAAATCCTTTTATTTACTAAGTATCATGTCTCATTCCTGTAGCTAAAACTAAATGATTATAGCCGATTCTTCTGCCATTTTGTAATATAATTGCATTCTCATCAGGTAATATTTATTTAACTGAACTTAATTCTGAAGGAGTAAATCTTAAATTATATATATATATATATATATAATTATAGGTTAATAATTACTAGTTAATTGCGAGTTTAGAAAACTATACATAGTCACTTTTTTTGACATGTTATTATTCATAAACCATGCGGACTGGATAAATTTGATTTACAGGTGAATCAAAGCAAACAAACATTTTAAATTTGCCGTGTGCAGCTTTATCAGTATGCGAACTTTATTTTGATATAATATTATTAAAGAAATATAAGTAAACCTGCAAATACCACCAAGATTTGAACCGACCCACACAACATCATAGGAGTCCAAATCTTTAGGAGTAGGTTATCTCTTACTTCCTCCTAAATTATAGACAATTTAATTATGGATATTTATTTTCTTTATATTTTTTAAACAATGAATCATTTTTTTATTTATATTTAATTTTTTCTTTTATTTTATATTTATCAAATATTTTATTTATTTTAAAAATTAATTTAATATATTTTATATTTTAAATTTTGGATACATTTTATTTATTATAAAAACTATTAATTAATTATATTTTTTATTAATTTATTTTAAATAAATAAAATATAATTTATATATTTATTTATTATAAATATTTTTTTATATAAATTTTATTAGTAAATAAAATATTTATATAATATTCAATAACAAATTTTATAATTTAATATTTTTTTAATTTTTAATTTAATTATTCATATATCTGTTACGTTTTGTGTTTTTTTTATGAATAAATCTAATTTCTTTCTTTATTTTAGTATTATTTAAATATCAAAATCAAAAAGTTAATTAAATATTTAATTTTTTTTTTTTTAAACAAATTATATTTTTTTTTATATTAATTTGATTTATAAAAAATAAACAAATAAAAATTTAATATTTAGTTTTTATATTTATAATTATGTTTTAGATAATAACGAATAAGAAGTTTTTTATTAATTATTTTTAAATATTGAAAATAAATAAGATGAAAAAAATAAACAAGATAATTTAATTAGATTATTTGTTTAAAAAATAACAAATTTCAATTATCTATTAAAATTATTATAATATAAAAAAATATTATTTTATTTTATAGAATACATTTACATATAAAAATTTAAATATGTTTTTTATAAATCAAAATAAAAAAATTAACTTAATATGTAAAAAAATCAGCAATTATTATATTAAAAACCAGAACATAGAGGTAGGCTTATATCATTTTCTATTTCATTAGATTTATTAATAAAAAAAATTTCAATATCTTATAATTTAATTTAATTTTACAAAAGAATATCATTAATATTTTAAAAGCATAGTTTTTTAAAAATAAAACAAATCTAAACTTCTTCGGAATTGCTATTTTTGTAATTTTAGTATATTTCTTCAAAATTTTTATCTTAACAATTTTTTTAGCAAACTAGTAATTAATTTAGTTTTTCTCCTATTCTTTCATGCATAATCCATGGAACAATAATTTCTCCTTCTTTTTTTTGCTATTTAAATTTGTTTTCATAAACATTAATTTCTTATAAATAAGGGTTAATACATGGTACAAAATCTAATGATTTTTATTAGATTAATTTATTTATTTCTAAATAATAGCCTTCATACTTATCATTAAACATATTTTCAAAAAACTCGATTTCCCAATCGAAAATTCCATTCATTTTTTACTGCTTAATTCTTTATAGGAAATAATCCCAAGTTTTTTTAAGAAAAATTTAAATTTAATATATTGAAGTATGCATAATATGTAAAAAAGGAAAGCATTTATATTCGTGTGCTAATTTAATCAAATCAAAATATTTTTTTAAATAATTAATCCTTATTTATATATCTTTTTAGCTTAAAACAAGATTTATTAGCCAATAAACTGTATAATTAAATTTTTATGAATATTTTGTTAATTATTTATTTTATAGTCTTTAATTTATTTTTGAATTTAATAAATCGCTTATATTTAACTTTTAAAGCCATTTCTTGTATATATAACAGGCTACTTTTACTATTTATTCTGAGTCATATAATATTAATGGTTTTGGTTCAAATATTATTATTTCTAAATTTTATTTATTTATCTGATTAAGAGGGCTTTTCTTTTCTTTAGTTTTTATTTTATTAAATTCATATTTTGTATGAATTTCTTTCACTTTTTTATATAAAGGAATGAATTTATAATCATCATGTAATATATTTCTAAAAAACTTCAATAAAAGGGAAATTAAGATATTATCATAATACAAATAATTACATCTCAGTTCAACAAAATCTTTAAAAAATAACCAAATATTAGTTTTTATTTCTTATTCTCGTTTCCTATACTATTCTTTTTCACTTTCAGTGTATCCGTAAGGTACAGGAATGTAATAAAAATGAATAAAATATAATACTAAGCTGTAAGGAGTTATAAAATAGTCACTAGTAAGTATAAAATTATTTCTGAATTTTTTAGAACGATTACAAAATATTAAAGAAGATAACGAGAGAGATATATCTACTTATTAGATTTATTAAGTTATTTTTTCTATTGCTTTTTCCTATGTTTTTTTTTGAATGTTATCTGATATTTGAAAATTCATAAAACCTGTATTATTATTTCCTTATGGAGTTTTTTAACCTTCTATATAAAAATTTTCAGATTAATGTTATTGAATTTGTTCTGATTTAAAAAATGGTGTATAGTTTTCTTTTTTTTAATAGTCTTTTAATAATAAATCAATAAATATATGAATATTTGTTGATGATTAGATTATTTCTTGTATTTAATTAATTATAATCTATTCTATTAAATCTGCATCTTTTTCTTTTTTTTTTTTTAAAAAAAAAAAATTAATTAATATTCCTTATAAAAATTAGATTTATTATACATATAATTTAAGTTATTTTATCAAGTTATTCCTTATCAAAAGGCGTAGCATCAAAATATTTTTATAAAGTGGAATGTCTAAAAAATTATTTTAAGTTTTTACTTGACTTGGGATTTAAATTATGTTCAGAAAAAGTATTTTTTTTATTTACAACTATTACTTCTTTTTTGTTTTCTTATGTCATTTTCTTAACTTCTTTTTTGTTTTCTTATGTCGTTTTCTTAACTTCTTTTTAATTTATACTTATAATAAAAAATTGAGTTTTTTTTTCTTACATTCTAAAAAAGAAGTTATTATATTTTATTAATAAAAATTCATCTTAACTTTGTAAATGTAATATATATATATACATTTATATTTTTTGGTATTATCAAAAGATAATAATGCAAAAATTTAATGATTAATATAAAATATACATATATAATATACAATAATTGTATTGGCATTCTAATTGTTGTATGGAAGGTTAAAGCATATCTGAAATCATTGAGTATCTTTTTACTTTTCCTTAACAAAAATTCTAATTATTGATGCTATCATCTCCTTTAAAATACTGTTATGCATGATGGGGCGTTGAATATAATAAAGAACACATTTTAAATGAATCTGGGGATAGTTTATCATTTAATTTATTCATTTTTATCCTTTTATTAAATAAAGTTTGATTTTTTTTTAAAAAAAAATTAGATTTGTTTTCTTTTATTTGTATAAATTAAAATAATTTATTAATAAATAATTTTTATTAATAATTTAGAAAAAATATTAAATTTCTATTAAAATTTATATTTTAAATAAATTTATATAAAAAATATTTGCAAATATATATTATTTATTAAATTTAATTAAAGTAAAAATATTATAAAAAATATAAATATTAATATATATATATATTTATATTTCTTAAAAAACATATTGTAAATTTTAATATATTTTTATATAATATTGAATATAAATATATATATATATATATATATATATATATATATATATATATTTTAAAATATAAATACATTATATATAATTAAAAATATATTTTTACTTTGCTAATATTTTATAAACAAATATAATATAAATATAAATCAAAATATATAATAAATAAAAATATATTTTAAAATAAAAAAAAATGAATAATAGAACAAACGTTAGAGTAATAATATTATTAATTATATGTATAATTTATTTATTTTAATAGGTAAATAATCCTCCTGGTGGCGTATCTAATAATATATTTGGTGGATATGAGCCTGAAAAACCTATATAATAATAATAATAATAATAGTAAAAACAAAATATATTTAATGATTAAGGATAATAATAATAAGATGCAAAAACTTCAGTTAAAGTACACTAAATGCCAGGCGGTAATTCCAGTTTTTAATTGGGATATGATAATTCTTAATGTTAAGACTAAAAAAATAACTAATAGAAATATTAATAATAATAGCAATTATAATAATTCAACCAATAATAAGTTTAATAATAGTAATTATTATAATAATAACAGAAATAATAATTATAATAAGAATAACTTTAATAATAATAATATTAATAATAATAATAATAAAGCTAACCATAGAATAATTAGAAAACCTCAGTTAAAATTCATAATCCCCCAGTAAATTAGATATTTTTTTTTTAAAAAAAAATATTTATTATAAAAAAATTAATTTTTTTATTTTTAATTTATAATTTTTAAATTTTTAAAAGGGAGGTAGATCAAACATATAGTTTGGATGAGATTTTAATTAAAATAAAATTTATTTAATTATGTTTTTTATTAGTAAAAATATATGTATAAAATGTTCAATTAATTATATGTTATTTTTAACTAAAATTAAATTTATAATATTTTTTTTTCTCATTAAAATTTAAATTTTTTACTTTCTTATCTTGATTAATACTATAAAATAATTATTTATTGATATTTAATGACAAAATAAAATTCTAATTTTTTGAAAAAAATAATATATATTCGCGAGAATTTTAAACAATTTATTCTAATTTTTTAGATAATAAAAATTTTTTCATATATTTTATATTAAATAAAAATTTTATTATTAAAATATATACAATCTTTAGTTTAAGTATAAAATAATTATTTAAAAAGAATTAGTAATAAATATTATTTTTATAATAATTGTTATATTTTTTTATATACTTATAATAAATGTATAAAAAAAAATGTATTTTATTTATTTCAATCTGATTAATATTAATTGCTTTGCTTTTTTTATTTTTGTGTTTAAATTATTAAATGTATTATATATTTTTTTTTTAAGAACAAATATAAATTTTTTATTATATTGTTTATGAATTTCATTTTTTTAAAATATACAATTCTTTTGTTAAATAGTATTTTTATTTATTATTTATTTTTGTTTATAAATTAATTTATTAAAAAATATTAAAAAAAAGGAAATAAAAATAATCAAAATTAAGATTGTATATAAATTATATTTTAATAATAAAAAAAAGATTTACAAAAAAATAATTCATAAAATAAAAAAATCAATTTAAAAATAGAATGCTAAAATATATACCAAAAAGAGCTATATCTTTAGCAAAAGTTTATCCTCCAACACTTCCAGAATATGATGTAATAATAGTAGGTTCTAATATGGGAGTAATTCTAGGGCGTCATATATATTCTTAATCAAAAGGAAATACAAGTGTTTTTATAGCTAGTAGTGCCACAAACAGACAATAGCATCATTTAACAATTCCTTACGAATAAGGATTTTGTAAATTAGAAAACTATTTAATTAATAACAAATATGTTAATAATCCTTATGTACCTCATTCTGATGATATTAAAGTAAGATTAATTGATCCTACTAATAATACTATTTAATTCGAAAATAATAGAATTATTAAATATAAAAAGCTTGTTGTTTCTACATCTTTGCAGGATGATTTAGATTCAATTAATGGGCTCTAGGAAGCTATTTAAGACGCATATCATCCAATTTTTTCGCCTTATATTTTGAAGAATAATTCTAAATAATTAAACACTTAATATTGGTATAATTTTGAATACGGAGATTGCTTTTTCTATATCCCACCTTTTCCTTTTACTGGAGAAGGTGAATATTTTTTTTTTATACTCTATTTTTATATATTTTTTTAAAAAAGTTTAAGAATATAACTTTTTAGTAGCATATGATTATTGGAAAGAAAAATTATAAAGATGTAAAAAACAAATAAATAATAAAAATATATAAAAAATAAATTAAAAAAAGAAAATAAAAAAATTAACTTGAAAATAATAAATGCAAATGATAATTTTTGTCAATACAATAAAGAATTAGATTAGCTTTTCAAAACTCAAATTCTAAAAAGGAATATTGAAGTTATTTATAATACAAAACTTACATAAATTAACAAAAATTCTAGAAAATTAACAACAATTAATTAATAAGGTGAAACAAAAGAATATACATATGACAATATGTATTTATTAATCCCTTAAAAATCACATTAGTTTTTAAAAGAGGCAGGCCTTACTAATGAATAAGGATTATTGCATGTTAATTAATATACACTTCAACATACTTAAAATAAAGATATTTTTGCTTTTGGAGATATTACAGATATTCCTATTGTAAAAAGCTTTTTTGCTTCATAATAATAAGCTAATATTGTATGTCATAATGTAATGAGAAGTCTCAAAAACTTGCCTCCTCTAAGTATTTATAATGGATATTCCAAAACACCTGTTTATATTGGGAAAAACCAAATTACTGTTGCTTCCTAGGATTTAGTAAATGGGAAATACATTAATAATTTGATTGATTAGGAAGGAAAACATATTTCTTATTTAAGATCTTATTATTGGAATTATTTTTATCAGTATTTGAATAAAATCTATTATAAATATGCAATTTGGGGTAGTCCTTATTATATTTTTCCTCCTAATTTTAATAATTTTAAGTAGTATGCAGTTGAAGAGTTAAATTAAGAATAAACTTAATAAGAAAGTTTACTTAAATAAAAGTATTTTGCTATCCCTAAGTAGAATTAACCAAATAATTAATAAATAAATTAAGATAAATCTGAAAAAAATAAAAAACAAAAAGATTTTTCGAATAATTAATAACAAGAAAAATAATATAGAGAAAGACTTGAAAAAGAAAATTAAGAAAAGGAAAGACAAGAAAAAGAAAAATAAGAAAGAAAAAAAGTTGAAATGGAAAAATAAGTGGAAGAAATATAAGAAAGACAAGAAAGAGAGATATAAAGATAACAAATGGAAAAGTAATAAATAGAAAAAGAGTAAAGAGAAAGATAAGAACAAGAAAAACTTGAAAAAGAGAGGAAAGAAATAGAAAGATAATAAAAAGAAATAGATTTAAAAATATAATAACAATAACAAGAAAAAGAAAAGTAAGATAAAGAAAGATAAGAAAAAGAAATGCTTGAAAAACAAAGATAATAAAAAGAGAACCAGGAAAAAGAAATATAATAAAGAGAAAAATAAATGAGAGAATAAATTTTATTGAATAAATAATAATAATAAGAGAAGTAACAGGCCTAGTAATTTTAAGCATAACAAAAAGAAAGAGAATAATAAAACCAATAAATTTAATAATAATAAGAATTAAATGAAGTTCCAAAAAAGAAATAAAATGAATTATCAAAATCTACTGAATAAAAATAATAAAAGAAAAAATAAAAAAAGTCAGATAGTTAATATGTGCCTTCGGAGGATGTATAATCTAAAAAAAGAACACCAAAAAAACCTTAAAAATGAAAGCAAAAATGAATCAAAAAAAAATTAAATATATAATAATTTATATTAAATTAAATTTTAAAAAATAATATTATTCAGATAAATAAATTAAAAATAATTTTTAGAATTTATTATTTATAAAGTTATTAACAAAATATGCTTTTTTATTTTTAAATATTTTTATATTTATATAAAAATTAAAAAATATGGATTTTTTAGATTAGTAAGAGGATATCAACCAATATGAGTTTATAAGAATTTTAAATAAAACTAAACTTGCTTTTTAATATGATTATGATAAATAAAGTAAGCATTACAAGTAATAAATTTAAATTAACTTTTAGCCATAAAATGAACTTAAGAATTTATATTTTTACTTAAAGTCTATTAATTTTAAAGTTTTAATTATAAATAATTTAAAATACACATATATATTTCAAAAAAGCAAAACATTTCATCATAAATTCCATATGAAAAAATGTTCTAAATAATAATATAAGAAAATTATCACGTTTAATAATTAGAAAATAAAAAAACTTATGTAAATTATATACTATTAAGAATATAATATAAAATTAATAAAAAAATATTTAAAGTTTCTAAAAATTTTATAAATTACTTTAAGGAAAGTTTTACAAAAATAATATTTATCAATTTAGTAATATATAATAAATTATTGTTTAACAAGTAAAGTATTGCTTAAAAAAATAATAAACTATCCTTTTGATTAATTACCTAGTTAAATAGGAAATGATATTTACAAACTTTTTTAAGATATTAATTTATTAAGTAAATAATAGTCAATGTTTATTTAACAAAATTTGTCTACAACAAATTACCTTAATTATTTTTATATTTTTTTTAAGTTGTTTATTTGTATAATATCAACTAAACAAGCGATAAAAGACCGTCCTTTTATTTAAGATATTTTTTTTGAATTTATAAACTCTACTATTGAACATATAAAAGTTTAAAGAAATTCAATAATATATTTATTAATAATAAATGTAAAAAAAAGTGTTTATTTATTTATTAAAAAATTAAAAGGATCTTCTTTTATTTATAAATATATTTATTAATGAGACTATTGATTTAGAAAGATGTCATTATCCTATTGAAAGTCTAAAAAAAATAGTTTCTTTAATAAACAATAATAATTTATATTTTTCTTAGTACTTTCTTTAAATCAAAAATGATCCTTTAATTAAATTAATTAATTTGCTTAATTTTATCAAATAATTAGACAATTTTAATGAGTAAATATTGTTAAAGGAATCTGCTATAGCCATATATAAATGTATATAAAATATGAGTACAAATGAATAAGAATTATGCTTGAATAATCGAGAAGTAATCATATAAAAACAATTATTTTATGTCTATTTTTATTTTTTGTCAAGAAAATAATTGTAATTATTAAATTTTTACATGAAAATGAAATCTAAATTTTTATAAATTTCGAAAATTTTGATTTTTATTTACCTGTTTTTCCCTTTCCAAATATGAATATAAAATAATTAGAAGAAATTAATACATCCGAACACTTTCATTTTTTATTAAAAGGTATAGAAGGAAAGTTAAGTTTAAATGATATTAACAATATATTAAAAAACGACGAAATATTTAATATTTTTTATAATTTCTTAAATAATATTGAGTTCAAAGATCTTAAATACACAAAAGAAAATTGTCAAATAATAAGATTATTTTATTATAATTAAAACCTTAATCTTTTATAAGAGAAAGCACTTTATTTTTTATTTGTATTTAGTTTTAAATTAGATTAAAATATACTATTAAGTTCAATAGATAAATAAAATAAAAACGAAAACATTTATTATAATATACTATAATAGTTAGGAAATAAATATAAAAATATATATCAAATTTTTGAATATTTGTTAGAAAATATTGAATATATATTAGAAAATAAACCCTGTATTATATATTTAAAAAATAAATATAAATATTATTTAAAAAATAAAAGTATTGTTTCAAGAATGTTTATAAGCCCTTTATTAGATTTGTTTACTATAAATTCAGAATATTGATTAAATTATATAATATTGGTTTGTTTTAAATAATAAATAAAGATTTCAAAGCATTATATATTTTACAGAAATATATAATGTTCTTTATCTACTTTTTAATTAAAATTAGCAGAATAAAATGGCGTATTAATGCTTGAATTGTGGAAAGAAAACAAAAGATTATTATTATTGTATTGTTTAAAAATTTTAAAATATAATATGTAGTAATTGTGAGGGAATAATAAAATCTTATAATTATTCTATTTAAGTAATAATGAGAAAATAAGATTTAAATTTATAAAATATAGTTGAAAAACTTTAGGATAAAATTGATATGTTATCATAAAATTATCCTAAAATTGATTTAAATTAGATAAATGATTAATTTTAAATCTTCTTAATAATTCATTTATAAAATATAAAAGATCATTTAAATTTTATTTGATAAAAAGAACATTAAATAAAAATAAATATATTTATTATTAGTAACAATTATTTTTTTTATAAAAATTAAATGTTATACAAAAAATTTATCTGAACTATAAAAAATAAAATATAATTACAAAATATTTTATAACATCTAGCTTTAACATTCATAGTTTACTTATTTCTTTTCTCAATAATTTAAGAGATTTAATTTTTATGGAGACAAAAAATATTTATTAATAATATAAACAATGGATAAATCACAATTATTCTATTAAGTTTATTTATCATGACAAAACTATAATGTGTGTTTTGATTATGATGGAAATATTTTTTTTATACATTCTTACTATTATACTTTGATATTTTTATTTAAATCCATTTTTAATATTGATAAATCTAAAATATAAATTAAAAAATAATAAACCTTATTTATAAAATTATTAATTTAATTTTTTTATAAAATAATGTATTAACAAATAAAGATAAAATTTTATCGAATGTAATTTTTATTTTTAATCTTTCTAAATGTAAGTAAACATATTATTTTAATTTTAGAAATATAAACAAATATTTTTAATCAAATATAAATATCTAAACATTATTGATATATTTTAAAAATTTATAAAATAAATATAATAATATTAATCATATAAATAAGTTTTTTAAAAATATTATTTAACAAAAACTCTTTAAAAAAATTAATATATGAAGAAATTTATTCTATATTTTTATTTGTTTCTTAAAAATAATAAAAGTTAAATTTTATATTATATACATTGTAAAATAAGCTATAAAATTATTATTTCTATTTACTAATTATATATAAATTATATTAAAATAAATATTAGGTAAATATATATTAATATTAATAAATATAAATATATATATAAAATTATATATATATTTAAAATATATTTATTTATATAACATTTATAATATTATTAAAATTATTTAAATTTTTATAAATAGAAAAAATATTTATTTTAATATAAAATTATTATCAATCTTCAGTATTATTATTAAAATTAAAAATTAATAATTTTACTGTTTCTACATAAAAATAATATTACATTAATAAATAAAATAACTTAATAAAAAAAAATGAATTTTTAAAAATTGGCATAATACTCATATTTAATATATATTAAATCAATATTAGCAATAAATATAGCATTATTAATTTAATATTTTTAAGTAAAATTAAATAGAACTAAAAAAATATATATATTATTATTATTATTATTATTATTATTATTATTATTATTTTATTTTTATTATTTAATTTTAAAGCATGGATATAGCTAATATTATTAAATTTTTTTATCATTTTATGTTATAGAAAGATTAGTTTCTTTATGTATTGAATTAACAATTCTAGTTAAGGAAAATTGTTATGATTTTTTAATAACTATTTTTCTTGGAATTTTTATTTATCAGAAATTAATTATATATTAAGAAGAAAAAGATTTTCTTAATATTAATAAGATATGCATATATATGCTTTTATAAATAGTTTTTCATATACTCCTTGGATTTTATTAAGTGCTTTTTTTATAATATATCAATAAGATTATGACTCTTATATTTTTTTTATTTATATGAGTGGTTTTCTATCAATAACATTAATGATTATGTTTTATTTATTAAATCTAGATGAAATAAATATCTGTAAAGATCAAGTATTTAAATTTTCGTATCTTAAAGAATTAAATATTAATGCTATTTGTGGTTCAAGTTATTTTAGTTTGATTGTGTTAAATACTTCAATCGTAAAATACTTTTTCTAAAGATTTATTCTATTTAGCTTTATTATTTTACTGCTTTTTTATTGTGTACTCTATTATTTTATTAAACCTTATAAAAGAACTATATATTTCATTACTTATATAACTGCTGCTATATTATCACATTCAGGGCTAGATTCTAGATCAATTCATTAAACTTATGATTTATAATCTATAAAATATTATGGAAATAATATTTATAACATATTAATAGTAATTAAAATTGTATAATAGGTTTTTTTACTTTCTTACTTTTTTATTTATGCATATGATTATTTAATAAATTAATTTTATTATGTAATTTGTATATAATTATTTTTTTCTTTTTTGGCTCTAATAACACTTTTTAATAAAATATATGTGTAAGGAATTAATCCTTTAATTTTTGGTAAAAAATATATCCAAATATATAATTTTTAAGAATTGTAAAATATGAATTACTTTTAAGGAAATAATTCAGAATTTATTTATTTATAATTTGATATATAAAATTAATAATAAGAAATCAGTAATGAACTTTTTTATATTTTGCTTTTTTGTTTTGGAAAAATATAAATAAGATTTGAAAATAGTGATATAAACTATAATTATAACTATTATAGACTTTCTTAAAATAATAAAAAATAAAAGGTTTATTTAGAAAATATACCTAAAAGTGAATAAATAGTAAATTTTTTCAAAAGAAGGCATTTATCTTCTTTTATAAGTGAAATCGAAATTAATTAAGTTAGTGATTATAAAAGTTTGTTAATGTTATTATTGATTTTAAATTAATAAAATTAGGAAATTAAAGTTATAATAAATTAAGAAAATTAAAAAGAAATTTCGGATATAAAAGAAGTAATAAAAAATAATGAGTAATAAAAAGAAAAAATAATATATAATTTGATAATTTTTAAAAAATATTTAAATAATTTTTTTTATAACAATCCTATACTAATATTTTATAATTTGTATGATGCATTCTGAAAATAATTAAAATATTTAATATGTTTATAAAAGTCACAATAATTTAAAAATTATTATTCATAACATATTTATAAAAAAATAATTTTAATACTTTAAATATAAAAATAAATTTAATATTTCCGTATTAAATATAATAAAATAAGTATAAGTCTCCAAAATAAAAATATAACTACTTTTTTTAAAAAATAAAGAATTGTATAAATGTAAATCAAAATAAAAAAACTAAAAATAAATAAATTTAAAAAGAAATTTAATATAATTATATAAACTATAAAATATCTACTTATTTACTATATTAGCTATTCATTTTTTTTTTTTCTTTTTTTTTTTCTTTTTTAAAGGTTTTACTACTATCCCATGTATTTCTCTCATTTATTGTTTATACTCTAGTAAATCAGCTGGAGGAATACTTTTAGCTGGTCCTAAAATTTATAATAAATCCAAATGTTTATTAGCCTAAGCATAATAAGCTGCATTAAAACCATTTACATCTCTTTAATTAATATCAGCACCATGTGAAAATAATAAATTGCAAATTTGTTTAAAACCTAATTTCGCAGCATAATGCAATGCAGTCATTCCTCTTTTATCTTTTAAATTAGGATTAGCACCATAATCTAATAATTTACTGCAAACTTCAAAGGAATTTTTTTCTACAGCATAATGTATTGGCGTTTTTTCTCCAACATCATGATATTCATGTCTATTTGGATCAGCTTTATATTTTAACAATATTTCAACTATAGTCGGATTTTAAATCTATACTGCATAATGTAAAGCAGTTGCTCCATTTATATTACAAGCATTAGCATCTGCTTCATTATCATCCAAAAGAGTTAATATGTCTTTTACATTTGAATGTGCAACTGAATGCAATAAAAGTTCGTTTCCTTAATATTTAGGTAAAACTATTTAATTCATATATATAAAATTTATATATATAAATTAATTAATAATATAATTTTATTATTTTTGAAAATTATTTTTACATGTAATTATTGTATTATAATAACAATTTATATAATTTTTCTTTGTATTATTTCATTTAAAAAATTATAATTAAAAAACTTGTATTAATTAAATAAACTTTATTTTGTATATTAAAATTACTTGTTTAGTAATTTTTAATAACTATTTTTATAAAAAATTACTTATTAAATTAAATATATTATTAACATGGTTTATAGATTTATAATTAATTTCATAAAAATAATAAATAATATTATAATAATAAATTTTATAATATATTCAACTAATTTTAACGAATTGTCATCAAATATAAAAATATGTTTTTTACTTAAATAATTAATTTTTGTAAAAAAAAATATTTTTTATAGATGATATAATAGCATAGTATAATAAATTGTTTTATATTTTATATTGTTAAATATTAATGTTTTTTTTCCGACAATATTTATATGAAACAATCACGATAATAAATTATTTAATTTTATTTTTTAAAGTAGTTATAATAAGAATGTATTATAGTATAGTTTTAAACATAAAAATAAAATAATTTTTTAAAGATATTATAATATTTTTTTATTTGTTTCTAATGAAATTAAAATAATATTTAATTAAATCAAAAAAAAATATATATTTATTAATATATTAATATTTATAAATTTAAATATATTTAATTTTTATTTTATATATTGTATAAAAAAAAAGATAAATTACATATATATAAAAACAAATAACCTATAATATTAATCAATATATAAGATTTAAAAAAATTTCAAAATAAAGGTATTTATTTTGATATTTATAGAAATTATAAATATAAAAATTTCAAGTTTTAATAAAATATAATAATATAAAACTTAATAAAAATAATTGATTTATAAATAATAATATTGATAAATCATTTATAGTTAATAATATTAAATAATATAATAAAATAATATATATAAAATATATTTAAAATTATTGATTATATTATATATTTTATATACTAATATATAATATAGTAAAAATATTATTTTTTTAAATTAAAATTATTTGAAAATATTTAAATAAATATAAATATATTATATTAATAAATATATATTTAAAATATTATTATTATTATTATTATTATTATTATTATTATTATTTATATTTTTATTTTATTACTTTTTATTCTAAAATATAATTTATCCTAATTATATTTAATATTTTTTTTTTATTTTATTTTTTTTTCCTAGAATTTATTTAATTTTTTATTATATATTATATATATCTTCTTAAATCTTAAATAATTTTTTTGTTTTATTAAATTATAATATTTATTTATTATTTAATAAATTTTTAATTTATTTTAATTCTATTTTTGCATATTTTGTTATCTATTAGGCTATTATTATATTTTTACTTTTATTCAAGTATTAAATTTTAAATATTATTGAATTTTAATTATTCAATTAATTTTATTTAGTTTCAATATGCATATGCATAAAAATATTGATTTATATGTTTAAAAATTAATTCAATTATTATAATAAAGATTTTATTTTTCTTTAATAAATTAATATAATTTATTTAATATTTAATAAAAATTTTTAAAAATTTTTAAAAATTTATAAATTTATAATAAATGAATATATAGTATATAATTTATGTTTTAATTAATATTTTTATTTTATAATGATAATCATATTGAGTTTTATATTTTTATTTTACAGTTCCTAAAACTATTTAAATTATATTATTTTTTTAAATAAAATTAAATATTATTATTACTAAAATAATTCTATATTATTAGTTTTTATTATTTATTATATTTAATATAATATTATTTACAAAAAAAAACAATATGAATATAAATTATAAACAAAATTTCAATTATTTTGTTAAATACTCATTTCTTAATTAAAATTATATTTTATTAAACTAATATTAGTTTAGTTTTATTTTTCACTTACTTAATTATTATTTTCTAATTATAAATCTAAATTTGCTTAATATTAAAATCTGCCTAAAGAAAAATAAAGTGTAAAAAGTCCAATAAGAGCGAAAAATTTGATTATTATAAAAACAGTTATTAAATTATTCAATTTAACAAGGCTATTAAAACAAAAAGAATTTTATATTTCTCTAATTTATTTTCCGAAAATACCGCATTTTTAGTTGTAATATATTCCACTTTTTCTATCTGAAATTAAACTAAAAAAGCTATTTTATTGACTATAGTATTTTAAAAGATATTCATTAAATTTTTATAAATATTCATATTATTTTTATTCAATATCTTTTAAATATTTTAAATTTTCAATAATTTTATTAATTTGTTATTAAGCACAATTACAATATCTTTAAATTTAATTAAATTTGTTTAGATAACAATTAAATTAAGGTAAGCATTATTATTAAAAATTTAAGTTAGTTATAAATCTGTTATTGATATTCAAAATTTAATTATTATCAGAATTATATACCATTTAACTAATAATTAAACAGCATTTTTTACCAAAAAATTTATCATAATTTTAATTGTTTATTATTTATTTATATGAACTATCACATTTTTGCCTTTTGAAAACGATTTAATCATTGACTATTTAGCATTGATCATTCGAAATAGAACAATTATTTAATTCTTATAATTTAGACTATATTTCAACATTATTTGTACTTAAATCATTTACGTATTAATTTGCTTAAGTTATGTATGTTTAAACTGATTATTTTGGCTTGTTTATACTATCTTCATTTTAGTTTAGTTTATCAAAAGTTTAATTTATTTAATTTAATTATTTAAATAAATCTTTAAAATCAAATATATCTAATAATTTTGCATTTTCTGAAAATATACATTCTTATGCTTATATAGGTATTTCTTTTTTTAAAAAAGATTTAAATATTTTTAATAATTTTGTTATTTACAAAAATAATTTTATAATTTATTAAAATATTCTCTATCAGTTAAAATAAGATCAAATGCTTGACATAATTCATAAAAAAAAGCTAATGAAACAAATAAAACTGAAACTATAAATAATCCAATAATAACTATTAAAGTTGTTATAAACCAAACTATATTTAAGATTCTTTTTATTTTTTTATTCTTTTTAAAATACATAAAATATAATCCAACTAAAGTTATTAGAAAACAGATTTTTATTGTTCCTAGTATTATAATTAAAGCTATCCTAATCCAAAATTCTATTTAAGTTAGCTTTCAATTTCATTTTTTTAACAAAATAAATACTATTTTTGTTTTTTATATAAATACCTAATCAAATTTATCTAAACTTTTCTATTATGTGTTTTAGATTTATAAATTAAATTAAATTAGTTATTCTTAAGTTTTTTAGTTTTATTAATAATTCTAATTATTTTTTTCAACAATTTAAGTTATTTGCTTATTTAAATTATCAAAAACTAAAAATATGTCACTAATATTTTTAGTCACTTCAACATTAATATTATTAAGAATTTATATATAATACCTAACGAAAAATAAATAAATAAAGATTTAAATATTTTTATTTTTTTAGTACTGATAATAATTAAATTTATTTTTAATTATTGCAAACTGCATTATTCTTAATTTGATTATATTCGGCGATTTTTTAATTTATTTCTTATAAAAAGTTTTATTGAAAATTCCTTATGTAAATAAATTAATTTTATAATTATTCTCTTTAAAAAATATTTTAAACTAATAACATTTTCGCTTCTAAATCATTCTAAATTGTATTTATTTTTACGATTAAACCATCAAAACCAATCCAATTTTCATTAATATTTCCATGAATAAAATTATTAAAAGTAAAATATGTTTAGCATTATGCCTTATTATATGATAAATGATATTATTCTATTAAAACCAAACCTGCGATAGCGGCTACAGAGCCTAAAAAAAGACAAATAATAGTAAAAATTTGACAAAACTTTATTGTAAAAATTGAATAAGGGTCTTTTATTAAATTTCTCTAACAACATTTGCAAAACATAGAAAAAAATATTTAACCAGCACAAACTAATAAACTTATTAAAGAAATAAAAATAAGAATTCCAAAAGGAAGGAATAAAGGAACTAAGCTTATTTAGTATTCTAACCAATCATTCTTTTTTTTTATATAAAAATAATTTTGTTATTTACCTATTATTAAGATTCCAAAGGTTTAATAAGCCTGTTTTTGTCTCTAAAATATTTTAAAATTTTAAATGTAGATTATGCATCTTCCTTTTAATAATCATTGGATGATTTCATATAATCAAATTATTCACATGCTTATAAGTTTTTTTACATCTATTCTTAAGAAATTAAATTATTAAAGCTTAATTATGAATAGTAAAATACTAGAAATAAAATAAAAAATAGATTTTTTTAATTAATTTTAATATATTTATTCATTTTTTGATTTTTAATAATTATTTATTTCTAATTAAATAATTTTATTTTAAAGTATAATTTGTTATTTTTGTTTATAAAATATTCAAAATTTGAAAAAAAAAAAAAAAAAAAATAATGGAAAGTTAAATTCTTTAAGATTACTTATTATAATATGAAGAAAATTTATAGTAAATACAAGAAAATTTATAAAGTAAATTTTTTAAAATAATTACTTAAAAACATCTTTAAATCTTTATTTTATAGTAAATATAAATAAAGATATATTAAAAAAATAAATCAAACAAGCCGAAAAATTTTTATAGATAATTGAATTGGAATTAAAAAACATAAAAAATAAATACTATTATAAATAAAAAGTATGATTTTTTTTTTTTTTTAAATAATGTTTCTAATTGAAAAAGATTAAAGATTACAAAACAGAATTAAAAAATATTAGTTCGTAAGTCTATAATAGAGAGAAAGAAGAATGTTCATAATTAGAATAAAATATAGTTCCAGTATAAAATAAAAAAATATATATAAATAATATATATATATATAAATAAATATATATATATATAATATATATATTTATTTAAAT